CACACACACACACACACACACTCACACACACACACATACACACACACACTCACACACACACACATACACACACACACTCACACACACACACATACACACACACACTCACACACACACACATACACACACACACTCACACACACACACATACACACACACACTCACACACACACACACACACACACAGAGAGAGAGAGAGAGAGAGAGAGAGAGAGAGAGAGAGAGAGAGAGAGAGAAAATAGAAATAACAGAAGATGTTGCTGGTAACACTTAATTTTTAAAAAGTCTGTCTTTCAACCTTTTTCCTCATTCCCATTGTCAACATTAAAGAAGAAAGAAAGAAAATATTTTGAACTGAAAGAAAAAACAACAAATCAGATTTGTAGAATGGAGTTCAAGTCATGTACGGAGGGGATGGAAGCTCTACAGGTCTTTAGCAGAATAAAGCCCTCAGGTAACGACCCTTGTGACCCAGCTTCCCAGGTGTGACTGTGGAGCAGGCATTACAATATCAAAACCAGATGAAGGCAGAGGAGCAGACTACAGTGTTGATGTCCCTCATGACTTCAGATTCAAATGTCCTCTGAAATTTTCTTAACGGAAACCAACAATCACAAAGGGAATCCAAGGATGGTTCAACACTAGAAAGCCAATCGATGTAAAAAAAAAAAAAATACTGTATCAAAAGGCTATAAAAGAAAGCCCATTCAATCATTCAATCAAAGCGCTCACCAATGTCTGTGTTTGGCAGACTCCAGCATCAAGTTCTGATAAAAGTCCTCCCTATATTGAGAACATAGAGTTAACAGCCTTAAACTGTCACAAGGCATCTGAGAAAATTCCTATAGCTGACAATAACAGTGAAAGACCGACAAGCTCCCGCTGAGGCAAGGAACCAGGTAAAGGTGTTGTCTCCCACTAGACCTATCCAACACCATCCTGGTGGTACCATTTGGTAATGGGAAGCTAATAAGAGCAAAAGGGTTTGAGCATAAACTGTGCTGAAGACAACCTGAAAATTCAAGTCAGTACATAAAAGACTTCTGACACCTCCGACCATGAGACAAATGGAATTTATATTAAAACCACATTGACACACCACCGTACAGAAAATGGCTAGCTTTGAAACCCTGCCCTTGAACTTGTCGAGAAGAATGGCTGCTGGGTGTAATGTTCTGAGTGATGGAAAATGGTACACCAGTTCAGAAAACACTTGGGCAGTTTATGAAAAGCCAATGTATACCTTAAAAAACATGCTTGCCCTTCCAGTCCTAGGTACTTAATTTAAAAAGAAAAGAAACATAATTTATACATACAAGTACATGGCAATAATATTTAGAAAACTCTTTTTTAAAAGCCTGGGCATGTGGCTCAGTGGCTGAGTGTGTGTCCAGCATGCGTGAGGCCCTGGATGAAAGCCTCATCACTGGAACAAGCAGAAACAAAAATGAGAAACAACCCCAAGGGCCATCAGCAGAACATAGTGTGTCTGCATCATGCATGGCTTTCTGACAATAAAAACAAATGGCTGTTGATATTTAGAATGACAGCATAAACCTCAGAGTATCCTGCTGAGTGAAAGAGGCCAGGAAACACCAATTAATCAATTACTATGCTTCCATTTATATAAAATTATAGAACATGTAAGCAGATCTATGGTGTAAGAAGGGGCTTAGTGGCTTTCTTGGAGTGAGGAACAAAGACAGAGCTGAGGCAGGAGGATTGCAGAGGTCCAAGGAAACTCCTGCAGAAGGTGAACTCTGTTAACGGTTTTGTCAGGGAAGATCACAAGTGCTGTCCTCATCAAGGAACTGATCACTGAGAGATTCAAAATTTGATGCAGTATTGGGAGTCGGCAGAAACTTCCAGAAGAGAGATCCAGTTGAAAGAAGCAGGTCACTGTCGTGAGCCACACCCTTCCTCTCCCTCTCCCTGCTTCATAACTGGTGTGAAGTGACCAGCTTTGCCTGTTACTGGCTTCCTACCATGAGGTGGAGCCTTGCCTCAGGCCCCATCAAAGAGCCACCTGCTGGGAACATACAGTATCTGCCTCCTTCCAAGGAGCAGACAAATACAAGAGGAACAAGGGATGGAGGCGCCTCTGCTTATTTCCTTGCATGTTCCTCCCTCGAGGCTTCAGAACTGGTCTTTAAAAAACATTTAGCCAAGTCCTTAATGTGTTTTACCAAACACTTTTCCCCATGATTTCTAAACCCATGTGTTATTTCAAGAATAATAGAAACCATGTGTCCCTGACATAGTCACACTTAAATCATCAAGATGCTATTTTGTTAGACCTTTTTGATGTCTTTTGAGTTTTTTTTTTTAAATGGGACCCTCCTAGGAGCAGCAAGTCCCCATCACAAATAAACAAATAATAAAACAAGAAAAAGGCCTGAATCAGGACCCAGTTTCAGACTAGCCTTGTGGGACAGATTTGAGACTTGGCAAGTGGCGTAATTCTTCCCCCGCCCCAGGAGAGGCTGAGAATAGAAACTGGTGTCTGATGGTCATTTCTGAATTGCATAATTCTGTTTATAGATCCAGAAGAGAACTTGAATTCAGTGAGAACCCGTCTGATGACTCTACAGAACTCATTCTTGCAAAGACAAAAAAAAAAAAAAAAAAAAAAAAAAAAAAAAAAAAAAAAAAAGTGTGACACAGAAGCCCAGTCATGAGATTCAGTGGAGACCAAACAGGGGAGACTGCATGGAAGTTGACACCTCGGGGAACACTCAGTCATGTGTGTCCAGAAAAGCTGCCTGGGTTACGGTGACCTAGATTCCCAACGCTCCAAGCTGGAGCCTTCCTTTCTCTTGGAATTCTGTGCTGAACTCACCCATAATTCATCAGCCTGCCCCTCTGAGAACTCGTCTACAGCCAGAGACAGTTTACAGTTGTGCTTTGCTCTTCCTACGTCCAGGTCAGTGGAGAGATGCCAAGTGAGATTGCAGAGGCTTCACTCAGCTTCTCCAGGGTGCAGCTGGTGAAGGAGACAGAGTGAACACTGGGGTCAGGCAGTTGGATTCAGATCCTACCACTGCCACTCACCAGTTGTGTGACCTTGGGCAAGGTCTTTCTAAAGCTGATTCTTCATCAGCAGAAGGGACATGCCTGCTCCTTTGGGTGAGGGTGTGAAGTTGTGACTCATGCTGCTGAATGCAAGAGACTCAGCTAAACTAAAGTTATTATTCTGACACCTCACTGGATGTGGGAAAAGATCTTGCAATGATTACTTAAATTAACAGCATTTTAGACCTTGGGGGATCGCCGTCTTCATAAAACAGTTTAATAAAGGACACAGGTGTTAAATTGGAAGAGCTGACCCACCGGACACTGTTAATTATTCTTGCCTGTCCAGTCACTTCACATATGCCACTGTTTGGTTTCCATCAGCTAGCAAGTCACCACTCCATAAACCACCATTTTCAGCCCCTGGTGGATAAGGGCATCTCTGTTTTGCAAAATTCTTAAGAGTTCTTTAGAATTTTAGGACTGGAAGATGGTCTCATTCCCCACTTTACAGACAAGGCAGGAACATAAGCCAGGGTGCTGGGGGACTCGTGCAAGCTCTCGATGGTGTGCACTAGTGTTGGGATGAAGACTCAGGCTGTTGGTTTCCAGGTGCCCTCTCCCTCCTCCCCTCCCCTCCTCCTTCCCCATTCTCCTCCCTCATCTCCTCCTCCTTCTCTGTGTTGACTCATCACATCTGGTTTTTTTTTTCTTTTAACCAGAACCCAGAACCCATAGACTGTTTTTAAAACTAGCCTTTATTTACTGGTCAGATGGACCAACTCTCTCATCAGAGAGTGATGAAGAGTTCAATTTCTGAGTGTCCCCACCCACTGAGTGCCAGTGGCATGCTACTCAGCACGATAGCCAGTGACACACGCAGAGGCCTGTTTGTGATTATTGAAAACTAGGGGGAATTGATGGGTTTGGGAAACATTTTTAGAGGGTTTTACTAAAGAGAAAAAGAAAGGGCATCTGGTATATGCTAATTGACAGATTATTTCAGAGGAGTCCAAAATATGAAATACAAATTGCCAAACTCAAGGAAGTCTGAAGTGTGATATTTGCTGAGATGTTCAGGATTGCTGAGCTGGTGACCTGCACTCTGCTCAGGCATGAGTCATAGTTTCCACCCAGCCTCAGCTTCTGCTGCTCTGCCTGGCTAATCTGAGCTCCTGAACTGGGTGCAGACATCCAGGTGATTGCGGTTGCCACCTGTCATTAAAAATGTACCCCTCCTTGTCCCATCTAGCACCGAATCAGGCGGCTATAGCTGGAGGCTCTGAGGCAGAAGGAAAAAGATGACCACGATGGACCTGAAGCACAGATGTCCTTTTGGAGAGGGACACAGCTGGTGGCTGCTGAGACAGCTCACAGTTAAAAGTGCTTACTGCCTGTCAACCTGAGTTTGATCACTGGAACCCACAGGGTGGAAGAAGAGAACCAATGGCCGCAAGTTGTCCTTTGACCTTCACATATGAGAAACAGTGTGTGTTTGCCCATGTATGGGGAGGACCAAGAGGAGAGATGAAGTCTTCTGCAATATGGAGAGAGTTGTGGAGAAGACCTAAAATCACATGTGCTGAAAGACATTCCACCCCTCTTGCCACAACTGAGGAATGCCTTGTCCATGCCGCTGCTTTCCGGGCAGCTTAACCTGGGATGCAGCCCAGATGTTCCCAGCTGTGGGAGCCTGGCCTAGGGTGGGAAAATGCAGGAGGCCCTTATGGATGGCTGCCACCTTCCCTCAAAGTTGGCTGACTCTCCCTACAAAACAATGAAGCCAACAAACAAACTGCCAAGCAAACACAGTGGAGTGGGTGACTGTTTTTTAAATGATTTCATTAAGTAAAATATTTTAATTCATATTATACACTGTTTACATCTATTCTTTGGTGCTATCATACATGCATGCCTACAAAGCAGCTTGATTGTACCCACAGGCGGCTTCCTCCCCAGTACCTGGAGTCACAACCGTATATGGTTTCCCACAGTTCCCAGCAGCATGTACATAAAGGGAGAAGAGGGTGCTCCGTGTGTGGAGGGAAGAGGAGAGAAAATGCAATGGGATGACATTTATTGGACAGCCATGTAGGACTCACAAAAGATGTGCCAGGATAGCTGAGAGTTTCCAAGGCAACAATAACCAACAGTATCTAGCTAGCTCTTGGTTGCCAGCGTCTTCTGAAAACTCAGTATCAGTACATAGTAATTGTAATCTCAAAAGCTCTCTTCGATTTCCTGGGCCTCAAGTTCTTCAAAATCATGGACTTGGGATCAGGTAGACTTTGCTGTGAGGTCACAGACATCAGGGATGGTGGCACACACTTGCGATCTTAGCTCTTGGTAGGCTGAGGCAGAAGGATCACAAAGGTCAGCTTGAATGACATAGCAAGTCCTTGTCTCAAAAAAAAAAAAAGTCAGAATGACAAGGGCTCTAACGTTATGAGGCAGGTCCTTGTGGTGTCACTTTTTGCCATTTTATTGATATGGAAACTGAGGTGGTGGGAATACAAGTTAAATTCAGTAACCTCTGAGGCCATGAAGCCACCAAACAGCAAAGTGGCTTTGAGCCTCTGTATTGTATGCTACAGAATTGATATGCAAGCAGCTATTAGGCCAAGGCTCCAAGGATAGAAAGTGACCAAGGTCAGGGCATGTGACCACTCAGTAGCAACTCCATCTGTGAAACAGCTGAGAAATAGAAGGAGATTAAAGGGCATCTATTTAGCAGGTTGGAAGAAAGTTACATAAAAGGGGACTTCAGATTAGTGTTGAGCCCTCTCCTTCTTAGAGCAAGTTTGCCCTCATCTTCTGCTGGCACCCTCATTGCTATAGCAATTTAAGAAGTAACATGGGATTGCCCCTCCTGCCACTTTGCCCTGAGCCCTACTCTCAATCAGCCAGGTTAAACCACCCCCTTAATTACCAGTGGGAGCTCAGTCTTGCACAAGGAGAGCACGGACGATAAGTTAAAACAAGGGACCTTTGTCTGGTGCACACAGTTAGGCATCACAGTCACCTTAATTATGCAATGATGTCACTCGCTACCCAGGAGAAGTTCTGAGGCTTAAACCCTGGGAGGCCCGTGAGTAATGAGCAGTGAGCCGTGAGCACCTCCTCTGCAGAGTTACTGCACATGGGAACTGGAAAGGGAGACGGTGAGAGGCAGGAGAATAGGATGGCCAGAGAATTGTGACCAAATCTTGATCCCTGGGCTATGTGATCGGAAAGTGCTCCCAGTTTGGGCAATAACGTAAAGATGCAACTTGTTGTCCGGGGTGATACATAAGGACCTGGATTCTGATC